CCCTAAGCCTGGTCCTAAAATCTCAATATTGTTGTCTCCACCATCCTCTTTAAGAACATGAGCTCAGGAACTGTTTTAGCTGTTCCCTGCTGTATGCTCAGTGCTGAGCACAGTGCCTGGCACATTATGTATCTGTCAAGAAGTGAGTGGACCCTCCTCAAGAACTCTCAAGGCTCTTCACGGCCCATACCTTAAGGTCACAGCTCATGGAAACTTACAGAGCATCCTGGGCACAATATTTAAGATCCCACCTGGGGTAGCTTCTCATTATCCTCAGCTAACAGGTTTATACCACAGAGACAGGAGGTTCAGACCTTCTGCAGGGAGCCCTAGGAGTCTGTATGTTTCTGAGGCTGGTTTCTGGGTAGGGAGACAGGTTGGGCACAGAGGCATGGTTATGGCCATCCAGGCTCCTTGCTGAAGGGCAGTGGGACATGTCTCACTGCCTGTCCCCCAAGAGGCTCCCACCTGATGACTCCAAAACACGCACACGCAAGACCCCATCCACAAATTCATACTCACACAGACACCAAAATAAACACAATGAAAACATGGCTATTTGAGCCAGTGACAGAAGCCAATATGTGAGGCAGACTCTGATAAGTACCATGCCTTTCAGCTGTGTTTGGGGAGCAGGCCTTTGAACGCAAGCTATGAAGGAATTCCCCTCTCCACCTGCCTCCCCTGGAGGACTCCTCTCCTATAAACAGCCGGGAGACACAAACCTCTTTCTCTCCCACCTCTCCCTAGGGCCAGGCTTCTTCCTCCACCAGGTCTGAGCTCTGGGGGTCTGAAGAGAACATTTCTCCTGCTGTACCCTTTTCCTACTTCTGCTGGAGGATGGGGCCTCCCACACAAAATAGACGCAGACCCACCCAGCAGGAGGAGGGGCTGACAGCTTTCACAGAAAAGTCAGGACTCTGGATCTTGTAAGTCCAGACGTCCTATAAACTCTGAGCAAAGGATAAACATCCCCTGGGACTGAGGGGAGGATATGCCGGTGGGCAGGGGGCCCGGCGCCTCTGTCTGCCCCGGGGACAGGCTGTTTAGTCCATATCCCTCATGGGCCTCTTTGGGCTCCTTCCTGTTCCAGGTCTGGACAAGTGGAGACAGGCAGGACAGCCCCACTTGGGAACCTGAGGCCTCGGACATAGGACTCAGACCTCTCAGGGTTGGAAGGGAACTTTTAAAACTCAACAAGCCCAGCCCTTCCCTCTTTTTTATTTTTATTTTTAAGTAGGCTCCATGGCCCAGTGTGGGGCTTGAGCTCATGACAGTGAGATCAAGAGTCGCATGCTCTACTGACTGAGCCAACCAGGCCCCCCTTTCGTCTTCTCGAATCTCCCTCATACCACTCCCAACTGGCCTTTGGCCCCTACTAAAACAACTCGGCCGATGGGAAGCTCACTTTTTCCCAGGGCAGTCCATTCTATGCCTGGGACTCTGGCAGTTAAAAAGTTCTAGAAGAGCTGACCAGAATTATTCTCTGCAAACTGGCTGAGCAAGAGCAAAGAATAATCTGTACAACAGAATAATAGCAGGGCCATTCACTGAGCACTGCACTGTGCCAGGCACGTTACATGCATCATCTTGTTAAATCCCCCTGCTTTCCGGGAGGACACACACAGGCTCAGAGAAGTTAGGTCACTTGCCCAAGGTAACCCAGCTGTTGTATGCAGGGGCTGGGGTTCAGGTCACTCTGGTTCAAAGTCCATGCTTTAAATATTAGTCTATACTGTTTTTTCACCATCGAAAAGCGAAGAGAGCACACACAAAACCAACCAAATGACAATAAAAACAGCCGAAATTTGCCAAATATTAAGTATCAGCTGTGTGCCAGGCAAATCATAACTTTTTTAATCGTTTTTTTTTATATAGATTTTATTTATTTATTTGACAGAGAGAGACACAGCGAGAGAGGGAACACAAGCAGGGGGAGTGGGAGAGGGAGAAGCAGGCTTCCCGCCGAGCAGGGAGCCCGATGCGGGGCTCGATCCCAGGACCCTGGGATCATGACCTGAGCCGAAGGCAGCTGCTTAACCGACTGAGCCACCCAGGCGCCCTGGCAAATCATAATTTTTATGATAAATTTAAGCAAACCTAGGAAGATACGGGGGCTCACTGAAGTTAGGAGAAGTGGACGTGTCCGCATATGAGGGGCTGGGCAAGTGTCCGACCACCATTTCTGAAGGCGGCCATCTCCCACTACACCATATTGCATTGTAAGAGGGTACTTCAGCATAATGAAAGATAAAACTTTTATAATCATCATTATTATTTTCAACCACAAGAGCTTTAAAGAGTAGGATGTGTGTCCTCAGAGAGAAAAGATCTGCCTGCTATGAGGGTGTCCAGTGGAGATGCTTTAAATGGGGATCCTACGCTGTTGGTGGCTACACAAGACACACCTTGGCTCTGAGGGGCCACGGGTAAGCGCTAACAAGGGACGAGGTCCGGGGGGGAGTCGATCTGTAATTTGGAAACGCGAGCTTGGTGTTTTCAGGGCTGGCTGCTGGGCAGCAGGGACACCTTAGCCACCCAGTCCCAGAGCACAAGTCCACCTCTTAGAGTCCTACCCCGACTCCCATTTTCTTGACTGCCCCCCACGGGGGAGGAGGCATGGGCTCCTGGCCTGGGCAGAGGACCCTGTGGGTGTGGCGGCCCCCCGGCCCACCTCAGGGGCCGCCCGCTCACCCAGACCTTTCCCTTTTTTGAGAACTGGGAGCTTGCTGGCTGGGTCTGCTCCCACCAACAGCGTTCCCGTCCAGGGAGCTTAAAATAGTGCCTCTTGGCTGGGTCTCTGGAGTGAGCAGTGAGGCAGGCATTTGTGCAAATATGGGCCTGGGAGAAAGACTCCTACCCAGGAGGGTGGCGCCGGGGTGGGCCGCATGGCAGGAGAGCCAAGACCTCCTGTGCAGGATGAGCCCTCCTGGCCACAGCCCCGCTCCATCTCGCAACGGAGGCTCCTCTTAGTCTCCCGCCTCCCCAGCCCTTACTGGGTCCACTTGGGCAAGTCTTTACACTGACTCCCACAGGTCCTCCTGGCTCCAGGGTGAGCCCACTGGCAATGGGGCCGCTGCGTTCTTCTGCAGGTTCTATCCTTGTTCCCACCTCACAATGTCCTTCCCACCTAAGAACGCTCCCAGAAGCATCCTTGAAGGCCCAAATCAAAATGTGTTTTCACAAGAGCAGTGACAACAGCAGCACCTTTAATTGAGCATTTACTTTTGTCAGGCGCTCTGCTAACTGCTTTCACATGCAGTATCTCATCTGATCCTCACAACATGCTAGCCAGGCCAAGTTATTATTCTCTCTGCTGTGCAGAAGAAACTAGGGCTCAGAGAAGTCAAGCGACCATCCCAAGGTCACACAGCTGTGGACTGGTAGAGGCAGGATTCAAACTCGGGTGTGTCAATCTCTAGAGTCTGAACTCTTAGTCCCGGGCAATCCCCCGTCCTACAGGTCCCCGCTGCCCTGGCCTCCCATTCTCCGTTCCAGCATTACCCCTCCATATTACAGACATCTGGTTTGAGTCAATGCATGCAATATCTTGTGAATGCCAGGAACATTGCTGGGTGCCGTGCTCACACCCTCGGAGCTCTCAGATCTCCTTGAGGACTCTGGTTTGGGCTTGGGCGCAGTGACCTCCCCAGCATTCATGGTCCGGGCCGTTTGAGGATGTCAGGGTGAGGCTGAGGCAAGCATAGCCCCTCCTTGGTGAGCGGCTGGACATCGCCGCTCCTTTCCATCCTCCCCTGCAAGGAACAGCATGTACGGGAATCAGACAGACTTCCTTTTTGAATGCTCTGTGACTTTGGGGTCCCTGAGCCTCAGTTTCCCCACCTGTATACGAGGGATAAAATTAGGACCTCACTCCAGCGTGGCCGGGAGGATTTAATGACCCAATGCACACGAAGGACTTGGCACAGAGCCTGGCAGTCAGTGAGTAGATATTAAGCAGTAGCTGTTATTATTACTCATTGTTCTTTTCTGTAAATGACGATGTCTAGCTGACGAGTGCCTAGGGCCTAGCACCTGGTAGATGCTCCACGTGAAGGGGATCACTCACGCAGCAGACAGAAGCCCCCCCTCATCCCGCCCCCTCACTCTTGCCTGCTCTGACATGGGAGCTGTCCCTGGAGCTGGACCCTAACAGTAGGGTCGCTCGGGAGGCCAGGGGCAGGCACGGGACTCACGCCCCCTCCCCTGGTCCCCACATTTTCAGCGCCAGGGCCCATTCCAGGGAAGGGCGGGGGTGGGGGGTGGGGGGGAAGGGCGGCATGAAGTTCCCTCAGGGCTTGCTGTCCTCTTTGGGGCTGTCGGGCTTTCTGGTGGTGCCACCTGGTGGCAAGCACAGCACCGCTCACGGCGGGCCCTGCCCCCGAGGGCCCCTGCGCGCTGAGCTAGACACCCCGCTGCCTCTCCCTCTCCAGCCCATCCGCCCCTTCCCTCATTCAGGAGCGCTGATGACCCCAACTGCGCTGTGACGCAGAAGCCCCTGAAGCCCAAGTTCTTCCGCCTCCCCCTCAGGCCTGGGTTGCGTCCCTCAGTGGTCCGCCAGGGTGGTGGGCCAGGGTTCACACTTAGGACATCCCTGAGGGCAGATGACCCTTCAGTGGTTTCTAGAAACCTAGGCTGGAAGAAGGGACTATCTTCCAGGCCTGAGATGGCCCGGGAATGGGAAACCCATTGATGGTCACTGGGCCCATCCGTGACTCCCCAAGCACCTGTCTGGGTACCCCACAGATCCCCCTCCCCACTGGGAGGAGTCCCCCCATCTCCCCCCCACCCCCGGAGTCCCAGCCTGGCCCGGAGCTGTAGGTGTAAACTTCGGGGGAAGAGTAGTAAGAATTAGGAGACTGAGGTGCGCTCTAACCAGCCTCCCCCACGGCTCTGCACCAATAGGCCTGTGACCTTGGATGAGGCCCACCCCTCCCAGGCCTCCGTCTCCTGTGCTAAAGTAGGGGTGGGGTCGGGGAACGAGAAGGGGATGGGTAAGGACTCCTGTAGTTCCCAGACTGGCTCCTTGTTAGGTACAGATTCCCGGGCCTGCGTTGTTAGAGCTCCGAGGCTGGGAGCCTGGAATCTATATGGACAAGCACCGAAGCTGGAAGCCGAGAAGCTAAGTCCTGACTTGGGGATACAGAAGCGAGGGTGTGTGTGGCCAGCAGGTAGGAGAGTGTGGTGGTTTCAGGGGTCCTGGGAAGCAGAGGAAACCCCTGGCAGCCAGGTCCCTGCCTTTTAATTTCCCTTTTTGTGGGTGCCACGGTGGGAGTGGGGTCCCCCCAACTGTGTGCTGGTCGGACGCTCTGCCAGCAGCAGCAGAGGGGTAGCGAGGAGGCTGCCCGCATCCCTCACCCCTTCACGCTTGCTCCGAGGACAGTGGCAGTGGGGCTCGGGCAGCCCGGGATGGGAGCGGGGGCCCTTGCTGCCCGAGGAGGTATTTTCAGAGTCCCCCTCCCTCTGGAGTTTCCAGTGATAGAATAGAGTCCTGTCTAGTATTTGACCAAATATGGTGGTATCTCTCGATGAGCTCCAGCCTCAGCAAGTTTCTCAGTTATGCTGTGGAAACCTGCCCCGGGCAGATTAATCTTGTGACATTCAGGAGCGCGTCGCACTCTGTGTTCTCCCCCTCACCCAATTCCTGTAAATGGCCAGGACTGGCCCTCAACAAGACGGTGCAGTCCTAGATGTTTGCTCACCGTGTCCCTCCCTGTCCTCTGCACGCTCCCTCCCACCCCTCCTCCGCCTCCCTGGGTGGACTGGCTCGCTCCTGGGCTGTTCCCTTGAGGTGAGAGACTTCGACCCGCGGGGCTGGTCAGTTCAGCGTGGGATTCCAGGCCCCGTAGACCCTGGGCTCACCCGAGCTCACCACACTGTGGCGGGAGCCTGTGAAGCCCAGAGCTCTCTCAGGAGGGTGGGCGCGAGGGGTAAGGAAGGAGAGTTGACTGAGCAATGAGAACCATGCTGGCTCTAATGCTAATTAGAACCGCTAATGTTTGCAGTTACAATTATATGATTATTTCATCATAATCAGCTAAGTATTTATTGAGCACTTTCTACATGCCAGGTACTGTACCAGCCGTTAAACATGGCTTATTTCCTTTTACTCCTTTTAACAGCCCCAAGTAGTGGCCACTACAATTACCCCCATTCTAGAGAAGTAGGAAGGGAGACTCGGGGAGATTTCAGGAAAAAAGGGGCCAGGCCACTGCTGATTCCTAGGTATGACTCCCATTTTACAGAGAAGGAAACCAAGGCTGAGACAGAGTCAAAGTCACGGACAGCCACACAGGGGCAGGCCCCTGGAGCGAAGACCCTCTGCACAGGGTGGGGAGCACGACGTCGGGAAGGCCAGAACAAGCAGCCATGAAGTCCTCACGAATCGTGACTTAGCCCGCGTGAGAGCACAGATTCAGAAACACGCTCACGGCAGGCTGGAACCCTGCAGAAAATATCCCAAGACAAACAGCCCGGGGTGGGGGATAGGGCCCTGCGCCGGGACCGGGTATGAATCCCAGCTCTGTCATCTCTAACCCACTGTGTCATCCCAGACACGTCCCTTCCTCGCCCTGGCCTCAGTTTCCCTGCCAGTGAACTACGTGGGAGGGACTCCGACGCCCCCGGGGCCACAGAACTCACCTGAGGCTGGCTGAGGCCGGGGTGCCTGAGGCTGTTTCCCTGGGAGATGGGGCCTGTGTCCTGCTCCTGGCCGGCACACTGGAGAACATTTGCTCTCCTGACCAACAGACAGCCCATCCCTCCTCCACCCTCACCCCCTCGCCATCCCCAAAGCAAACGAAGCTGATTGTCTTAGCCGGCCCTGCGGGTGCTGGCGGGTGGCTAGCCACAGGCCACAGGCGGAGGTGCCACCCGCCAGAGCCCCGCCAGACACACAGGGCATTGTCCCTCAGTCAACAGCCCCTGGGCACCTTGGCCCGGCTCCTGGCCTGCCCCCACGCCCCTCGCCGCCTGCCACTGCGCCAGGCCCAGCCAGCTGGGGGCCCGAGGCTCCCAGCTGATGACGAGCCCACCCAGCCACCCCCCAGCAGCCCCCTGACGAGCTATAATTGCTTCGCTCCATCCTGTTGCTGCCATTCTCTTGGCGAAGGCATCTGGGGTTCCAGGCGGGCGGCAGCTGCAGGCCAGCCGCCTGGCTCGCGGGATGGACTGGCCGCACAACCTGGTACGTGGCGCTCCCCCCCCACCCCCCACCCCCACCCCATTTTCGGGCCTGAGGGTTTCGTTACTTCTTTCCTATTGATTAATGGCTGCCTCTGTTTGGCTTGGAATCTGCAGAGGCGAGTTCTCCCTCGGCCGTCTCCCCCAGGGTGAGAGAGAAACAGAGACTGGTCTCAGAGCCTGCAGCCATGGCCAGCAGCTCGGGCTCCTGAACCGGGCTCAGCCCGTCCGCAGTGAGGCCCTTTCAGGCCGAAGCCATCGGGGCAGATCCGGGCAAACTCCGTTACCAGGGGTTTTTCCAAAGAGTCCCCGGGGTCCTGAGATCCGGGCCGGGTGACCTTGGGCGAGTCCTTTTTGATTCTTTTTCCCAGGGAAGGGGACTTTGATTCTGTTCTGGCTTTCTCTGAATGCAGAGCCAGAGTTTCAGAACCCCACGGGAGACGCTCAGATGGGAAAGCCAACGGTTAAGGAGACATTTTTCTGCGCCGGGATCCAGGACCAAAAAGGAAGAATTTAGCGACTTGAGTCTCTGTGGTGCATTTGGGGCCGGGCACTGGTGTTGCCAGGAGGGGCTATGCTGAAACTTGTTTCCAAGGGTCAAGCCTTGCTGGGTAGCCTGGGTAGTTCAGGCACGGGCCGTGCAGGTGGTGAGGCGAGTGACTCAGGGCAGGTAGGAGCCTGGTTAGATTCAGGGGCCAGATGAAACCCTCCTGAAGGTTCCTCCCTCTGGCGAGCCCTGGGCCCCACCCACGTTCTGGTCTGTCTCCCGGGCTTGCTGAGGAGTCTGGGTTCTGCCAGGCCCCCGGGGCTTCTCCTGAGCAAGCCAGAGCCTTTCCCGACGCTCCCGGTTCCGTGGGAACAGGAGGACGACGGTTGGATACAAGTGGGTGAGGCGTGGATGGTGGGCGGCAGGCAGAGGGCTGGGCGCGAAGGAGGGGAGCACAGGTGTCATGGCGTCCAACGGGGATCCTCAGCCGGGACCTGCCTGATTCCCCACCTTAGTCTCACAGCCCCC